CGCAATAAGCTTCGAACACATGTATAAGTTGAAATAAGTTAAAGGAATCTTCCACGGAAAAAGCTCCGCCCTCATTACCACAGAAAACGATACCTTAAAGGAATCTTCCACGGAAAGAGTGATCATTTTGTCTTGTGTGTAGGATTAGTATTATCGAAACTAACGCTTATGTTCCGTTCTTTTTGCTATGCTCATGAGGCTAGGGGCCTAAGGGGTATCGTTTTTCTGTGGTAATGGAGGCGGAGCTTTTTCCGCGGAAGATTCCTTTAAAGCAACAGTCCAGGCAGGGTTTCAACTACTTGGTCATTAGGCGGTCAAAACATGCCCCAGCCCAACTAAAGTTTATAGGAAATGTCTTTAATTTCAAAACCTACCTCTAAAATGCGCTGGAAGGGGTCGAAGTCCTCTTGGAGGGGGCGGATCACCCATAAAGAGGCGGATCGCCCAACATTCGCTGTGCAGAGCGCTTGCTCGACTAGCGGTCGTTGCGGGACCGCCGCGCTGTATGAGGTCGATTCCATAAGAACCCAATTGAAGCGCTTCAATTTCGATTGCTGGCAAATAGTTATGTATTTGCAAGCATGCATGGCTATTTGCCAGCAGTCAACTGGAGCGCATGTACTACGGGCAGGTTCGGACAACTCGTCCAACACACATCTCCCTAAACGGCAGGGGGAGTCCCTGTCTAAGCCCCTGCCCGACGTTTTTTTCTACTTTTTCTTTCTCCATTGACCAACTTCTCACCTGCAACGTCATTATAGGTGGTCCTTACCCGCGAATTCGTTCCTGGATTGTTGCTTTAAGTGCAATTATTTATACGATGAAAACGGGACGGGCAATAACTTTGCTGGCCTCATTTGATATTGCGGCCATGTACTGACTGAACGAGGTACCCCGCGTGACGAGGAAATTTGATTAGAACAATTCTCAGCCAAAGATCATTTAACCCGACAGCTAGAGTACACAAGTCAACTTGCGAGTCCAAGACTCACAGTCGTTTTGAGATCCAACTCTCACCCTTTTTCATGAAACATACAAAACGCCGTAAAACCAATGCCCGTTATGCAGGCATGTGGGGGGAGCAGGGGGCGGAGGTAGGGCCTGAAGAACGAGGAAGGATAGAAATATGTGCAGACAGAAAAGGAATACATCCCCTCTCACATTAGATTCTGCGAAATTCTTCTGCAACATTCCTTTGAAGATCTATAGATCCTACTGAAAAAGTATTTGTAGGTGGGAAATTGAAAATTCTGTTGCCTCTGCTTGCTCTTTATTGACTCTTTTCTTATTTATTTATATTTATTTATTCCAATGCGCAGCGTTAATTATTAAATTTTATTTACCATATACCCATACATTGAACATGAAAAGGCGTTCTTCCTTTGTTCGCTATAATCCGTTTCATTTGCTGCATTTCCGCTCATTGTAGCCGCAATGGATTTCAGGTAATGAATGTCGCACCAGAACCTGTGGACCTTCCTGTCAAAATGCCCCTTCCACAAATCACCATGACACCCACAATCCTGGGACCATTTGAGGTTGGCTAGTTTCAAAGAAAAATTTCTCATGATTAGTTTCATTTCCTAGAGTAAAATATTGGAAACGGGATAGCTCCGGTGCCATACCCATGATCGAAGATCAACAATGGGTTTAAGGTTCCACCCTCAACCTTTTTTCTTTGTCACATTATCCAGTCGCCGTTTTTGATCAGGCAGTTCTTACATGTTAAGGAAGGCTTTAGGCTTGCTTAATCTGGGGGGGGGGGGGATTGGTTAAGATTATCTGTCTGTAACTAATATACCTACAGGAGGAGCTGTGTTTGTGATTTCTTGTAGAGGGATCATGTGGATTACGGATATGATGATAGAGGAAGCCCTTTCCAAGGAAGGATTCCACAGCCCAGAACCGAATGTCGGAAGGGGAAACCTACCCTGTGAAAAGAAAGCCGGATCCCGGTGGTCTAGCATGGCTTCCCTTCGGCGCAATTGGCGGGAACGCCCACCGACTATCTAATCACTCGCCGCAGGTCTATACGTGGCGAGTGATTAGATAGCAGAGAGAGCGTAGTGTTGAAGAGGGCACAAGATGAGAGTCGCATCAATGCGGAAATCAACGGGCAAGGGGGGCCCATTTCTCGGGTTTCGGGCCGTTTCAAATGGTTTCTGCTCCACTGCCCACCTCTACCCATCGTAGAATCCGCCTTCAAGTCGATAAAATGGGCGGAAATTTGTGGAGTTCAGAAGCTTCAATGGATTTCTTCGAACTCCTTTGGCTGTACAGATTAGTGCAAAAATTTACCGCATCAAAATAGACCGTGGATAAAGTATAAATTTGTGGAATCTGAAAGGAAAAATTGTCGTAAGATTCAAGGTCGTTCTACGATGGAGCGGTCTCGACTTGAGTCGTGCCTTCATTTTGAGAAGCGGCTGGGCAAAGACGATTTGCATGATTGCTGTCTGCTTCCTCATTTGCCTAGCTATGTTCTTCCGGTCACTTATACACATGATGGATTCCACGAAGGTAAGTAAGTTCAATAGATTCATCGAATTTCGGTTGAGCTTCACCACTGGTATAATCAAAAATAGATCCCGCTTATTCCAGCCAATGACAATTGAATGGGCGATCAGTTGCGTTTGGGGATTCATGTCAATACACGGGTTCATCTCCGGTCTATGCGTAGCGTCATGGACAAAATCTCGCTTCTTGCTGGAATTCCAGGATACTCTAGCTAGAGTTCAGAAGCACAGAGTACGTATATTTCGATTTATTCCAATGCTTCATTAATTTTCATAGATTGAAGTTTTCAGGGTCCAATTTACGGGAAAGTAAATTTATTAGGCATTTATCGAAAAATCATCATTGGCGCAGTAATCTTTGTTGCAACTTGGGCAATGTCGTCGATGAAAGGTATACTGTATGAGGGATCTCCGATCAATTCGTCGGCACCATTCTCGGTTGGGTAAGTACTTTTTGTTTTGGTTTGCAACAATTTCCCAGTGTCTATTATATCACTGAGCGCAATGACATCGAGAAACTCCATTAACGCCACATTCCATATGCGATCAGCTTTATTCGGACAGTTCCCAAGAATGAGGTGACTGGGTCCGCAACTGCAGAAGCATCCTCCCCTCTGTGCGAAGAAAAACGCTTGCTAAGAGCTTTCAAGGCTTATGGCTGTCATGCATGCACATCGCACACATCTACGCGCGCGCACCTTTGCAAATGCGCTGGTGTCTCCGTCTCCCACTTCTCTACGATCTCTCGTCTCCAAATCATTCTCTCACCTTAGCGCTCGTAGTCCTTGGATTGCTCATTACGTCCAAAAGGAGGCCCACCGTTTTGCTGTTTTCAAATCTATTATTTGCTTTTCCCCCACAAACGGT